TATTCTTTCTATAATATTTTAAAAACAAAATTGTACTTTATGTAAAATCTCAATTAAATATTCAATAAAGATAGAGGTATAGCCTTACCATTAATATTAAAAAAAAATAAAATAAAAATAAAAGCAGTCAATGTAAACCCCAAGTTCAACATTGAGTTTTCATACTTTTTCACCAATAAACTACTACTTTATACTATCCAAACTAAATAGTTATTAGTATTTTTATATACTTTTAATTGTAGCCTCTTTTATAATTACAAATTGCCTTAAATTTTCTTTGTTAAGTTTTTTTTGAAAATGCTTTTTGACTTAGTTATAACACAGTAACAAGTAAGATTACGAAAAGTGTTTACTGTCTAAAGTTACTCTAGTTACCTACTATTTTAAAAGAAGTAGATATAAAATAACAGTATATATCAACAGTTTAATGCTACTAATCCCATCAATTTTCAAAAAATAGAAATAGAAGAAACACAAAAGACAGTCTAAATCTTAGAAAATCATTTAGAAAAAGTTTCAAAAATTCATAATAAAGTTAATAGTTAACTTAAAAAAACTAGTAAATTTATACAAAAATGGTTAAGTGTTTATTACTACAATAACCCCTATAAGCCTGGTTAGTTGATTGCAATAGCACCTGATACTAATATGAATCCAACAACCCAAAAGAGAAAACTTTAAACTAACTTTAATGAAACCAAAACTATAGTTAATTTGATGAACAATAACAAGACTGTAATTGTTAAAATGTCTGGAAATAGCACTATTTATTATTCTGTAAAAAGGATTGTTCACTTTAAAAAAAATATTGAAAAAGATATTTATTTTAATTTTTAACTTTATAAAGTATATGTATAAGTATGTATATACTTACATTCTAATTTAATTATTAAGTCATGTTATCTTTATCAACTATGTTATCTTCATTAACTGTATTACCTTTATTAACTGCATTGCTTTCATTAACTGTGTCACCTTTGTTAGCTGTATAACCTTTCTAAATTATTAAAAAATGGGTTTTTTGATCAAAAAATCAATTTTTTTTAGTTTAGATTTTTATTTTAGCTTGGATTTTTTAGCTTATATTTGAGAGATATAATTGTTAGGATACAAATTTAGAAATTGCATTAGAGGGCCTAATACATGGAGCCATCTCATGTTAGTTTCTATAATACACAAAATTTTAAATAAAATCATGTAATTGTCTTAACTTGAAAAATCCTTATGTTAAATTGCAACAATTATTGATTAAGGCTAAGTGAATGTTATAGGGTTTGCATAGGTATTATGTGTAAGGTAGGTTATTTAAGAATTGTTCTTTAGAGCAGAAATTGTTTATCTTTCTGTTTGCTATTGCTTGCCCAGTAGTTAGGACTAACTTTATCATTCAATTGTAGTTAATACTTTCTTATTTAAAAAATACAATAAATAAATAAATAAAAAACTTAAATACTTAAATAGTCATATAGTGCTTGCAATATGTCATTTGTCAGTTGGACAAAATTAATGTTAAAGAGTTACAGAACCTATGTGGAACATATGATCTTTTCACAGGAGACAACAAGAAGAAGTTAAGTAATAGGTTACAGAGATACTTTAAGAAAAAAAGAGAAAAGTTGCAAGAAAAACTTCAAGAGGATAATGTTGAAGCAGAAGAACTTTCAAAAAAAGATGTAAATGATTTTAATGAAAAAATTTCTGCAGATAAACTATTAGTCAACTGAGAAGGTAATTATTTGAATATTGGCTCTTATGAAGCTAATCACAGAATTAAAAATAAGTTTGCTATACATTTTTAAGAAAAAGATAGAGTTAAAGCATTTTTAGTTAATATTTTTATATCTGTCTTGAGTAAAATAGAAAAGAAAATGAATTGAAACTTTTTTGCATTACAAAAGGATTTGGAAGAGAGAGAATTGTTAGACAAGACATGGCCAGATATTAAGTTGTTTAAACCATATAACTAATATGAATATGATTTCTTGGCAAAGATAGGCAAGTGTCTAGATAGAGCAATTAAAGAGTTGCCAATTTCTGCTAGAAAGGAGTTTATTGGAATCAAAAAGAAGATAGAAACCTGAGCAATTACTTTAAGATTAGCTAATAGTAAGAGTTGAAGAACTGTTTTGCAAATTGTTAGAAATAGTGATAGAATGATGAAAAAGTACAAGGATTATATTTCAATTTTTAGCAATACATGGTTAGACTCCTATTTTAGTAAATGGAAATATAGTAACAAGTCTAGAAATAATTAATATAAACAGAAGAGAGATAAGGATCATTTATCACCAACATCTTCTGATTCAGAAGAAGATGAATCATATAGGAAAGATAAAAAAAAGAAAAAAATGATTTATTTCTTTTATAGTAAAGGAAAATAGAGTTGGTCAGAATGTTAATCAGTTACATAGAGATCTTAGTCATATTGTCTTTAATTGTTTTTTTACAAATACCAAGACCCTTAGCAAACCTAAAAATACTAATTAACTACAATTAGAACCTCTTTTTAAAAGAATATACAATTTCTATAGTGATAATATATATATTAGTAATGAATCAGACATTAGAAGAATACAAACTACAGAGACACTAAACTACTAAAGACACAAAATAGGATCTTTTTACAGTAGTTATAAATTGGTTAGCAAATAGTATTCTTCTTTTTCTAAAAGGCATCTTTGTACTTGCAGCTCAACAAGTTCTAGATCAATATTCACTATCAGTAGAGCAAAAGGAATAAGTAGTAGAAGTGACAAATCAGTTATTAAAAACTTCAGCAATCAGTTATTTAGAAAAACAAAAAGGCAGACTCAAATTTTTATTAGAAATAAGTCCAGTTTTCTTAGTTCCTAAGAAGGGTTCAAAGAAATAGAGAATGGTAATTAATTTAAGAAGACTGAACTCTATTTTAACAAAGAAAAAGATGCATTTAGAAGGCTTTGGTGACTTACTTCAGACAATAGGAAAAGAATAGTATGTGATTAAATGAAATCTAAAAAAGGGTTATCTTTATATTATGATAAGAGAAGATGCACAATAATTTCTGAGTTTCAGAGTAATAGACAATTGATATTACTATTAGGTGCTCTCTTTTGGTTTGTCACAAGTTGTTTGAATCTTCTCAAAGATTATAAAATCAATTGTAGATTATTAGAGGTTACTAGATTTGTATTGTAGTAGCTATTTAAATGATTACTAGTTAGCACACCTTTTATTAGACATTCTGATATCAATAAGAGATCAAGTAATAAAAGTAAACATGAAATGATATGATTTAATAAGAAAAATGTCAAAGGCTTAATGGATTCCAACACAGTAGGTAAGGTTTTTTGGTTTGTTAATAAATATAATAAAAGCATAGATAATAGTTCCAGAAAACAAAATTGTGGAAACAGGAAAGTTATTAGACAAATTAGCAAACAAAAAGAGGGTTTTAGTATAGAAATTGGCTACAATAGCAGGAAAAATTCAAATATTAAACAGAGCATTTGTCTATCCTAAAGTCTACTGTCTAGAATCTTATATAATAATAGATGTAGCCAAAAGAAGAATATAACAGAACAAGCAAGAGAAGATTCCAGATGGTTGTCTCAAAATTTAAAAAAACAAAATGGCTGTTCAGTCTAAAAATTTTCAAAGATTAAGCAGATATTTGGCAATGCTTTAAAATAGGGTTCTGCAAATGCCTATGCCAGGCAAATTGGCACTATGCCAGGCATTAATGCCTCATGTCATGCCTATGCTTATAGGCATAAAATACCAAGCACACATATAAACATAAGTATTAAAGTGCCAGCATAAGTGTTACAAAACAAGACATTTTATGCCACATGCCTAAATAATAATTGGTATTTTTATGCTATATAATGCTCCAAAAAATAAGC